GTAGGTCACGGTAAAACAGATGCAAACATTGTTGGGGTAAATGCTGATCATCTCTCTCTCTCTCTCTCTCTTTCTCTGTCTCTGTCTCTGTCTCTGTCTCTGTCTCCTGTCTCTCTCTGTCTCTGTCTCTGTCTCTGTCTCTGTCTCTGTCCTGTCTCTGTCTCTGTCTCTGTCTCTGTCTCTGCTCTGCTCTCTCTCTCGTCTCTGTCTCTGTCTCTCTCTGTCTCTGTCTCTGTCTCTGTCTCTGTCTCTGTCTCTGTCTCTGTCTCTGTCTCTGTCTCTGTCTCTGTCTCTGTCTCTGTCTCTTCTCTCTGTCTCTGTCTCTCTCTTCTGTCTCTGTCTCTGTCTCTTCTCTCTCTCTTCTCTCTCTCTCTCTCTCTCGCTCTCTCTCTCTCTCTCTCCTCTCTCTCTCTCTCCTCTCTCCTCTCTCTTCTCTCTCTCTCTCTCTTCTCTCTCTCTCTCTCTCTCTCTCCTCTCTCTCTCTCTCTCCTCTCTCTCTCTCTCTCTCTTCTCTTCTCTCTCTCCTCTCTCTCTCCTCTCTCTCTCTCTCTCTCTCCTCTCTCTCTCTCTCTCTCTCTCTCTCTCTCTCCTCTTCTCTCTCTTCTCTCTCTCTCTCTCTCTCTCTCTGGCGACTCTTGGTGCATGGATAAAGCAAATCACCATATGAAAGTTGTCTTTTTTATTTCGATTCGGATAACGTAAGAAACTCGATCGAGCTCAGGAACTCTTCGCAGGCGCCGGATCTGGCAGGGACGGTCTCGTTGCCACTGGCTTCAGAGGAACAGCTGCACGGGCTCCGCCACGAAACTGGCGACTCTTGGCGCATGGATAAAGCAAATCACCATATGAAAGTTGTCTTTTTTATTTCGATTCGGATAACGTAAGAAACTCGATCGAGCTCAGGAACTCTTCGCAGGCGCCGGATCTGGCAGGGACGGTCTCGTTGCCACTGGCTTCAGAGGAACAGCTGCACGGGCTCCGCCACGAAAGGTCCTCGACAGAACGGGCAGACGGCCATGCCCGTGTCAGCCGCCGCCTGCACGTGGCGCAGGCAGGCGAGGCAGCCAAGCGCGTGCATGCAGGGCATTACCGCCGCTCGCCTCACCCGCGGGCTCCACGGCTCCAGGCAGATGGAACAGGTCTGCGAAGAAAGGCGAAAAGCATGCGTTAAGTCTCGAGCTGCTTCAACGTTGGTAGCGCGTATAATACATTTGCAAGCATCGCTAGTGCGTAACTGTTGTCACCTATGCGCTGCGGCATATCATGTTGGGTTCCCGTATTGCACCATTCCACTCCGTTTTTAACTCACTTAGACAGCCCGTCAACCGAAAAGTGCAAAATTTATTTTTACAGCATCGTACTTATACCGCATTAGAATTTACAGAACCGCGAGCTTGTGCTGGCATGCGGTGGTGGAGCTGGAAGCGCATAGATCGAATCTCTATTATTTTGGTTGTGCTGTTAACCTACTCATAGGACAACCTCAAAATAATTAAGGTGAAATATGCGTTCCAGTCTAATCTTTGAATGGTACAATTTGGTTTTGGAAGGCTTCGGAAGCATTTCAGTGCTACCTGCGGCGGCCGGCCCCGTTCGAGGTTAGTGAAACTGCTATAGCCGCCTTTACTCCGGAATTACAAACGCGCAAGCTAAAGATTTGTTATGCAATTCGTTTCTCAAATCGATTCTGTAAAATTATGTTCGATAATTCCGTTCTTCGATTCTAGATTCGAACTCCATCGATTCTGGTCCCAAGCGAACATTGCCTAGGCTTGCGTTCAGGTCTGACTTAATATCCATCCTTTCAGACACTAATGAGACCATTTACCAATATTTTGAGCAAGGGCCCCGCGAGAAAGCTGTAGGAAGGCCTTTGCATTGTCTCACTGCGGACTCGAATAAGATGTCATATGTCATTGCAGGCTGTCATAACGGGTTATAACAGTTATAATATCTCATTGCCTTGTCAGAGAGCCCCGACCAACGCATGAGGTCCTCTGGCCTGTGAGGATCGGTCCCTGTCCCTGTTTAGCAAATGTTCCTCTGGCCGACTTGGGCCCTTCCTGACACATGGGCCCCCTGTCATGGACCGTGGGCCCCTGACCGTCACAGGGACGCCTCATTGTCTCGGCCAATGCAAATTGCGGGGCCCGGTCTCGTCCCTGGTTGGGAAATGAGCCCTCAGGACCCAGACCGACACGCAGCCGACTGTTCGGTGTTCGTGGTCTCTACACGAAATTTGGAGTCCACATTGGCCAGTGGTCATCGATAGGTTGAGAGGCACTCCTGACAGACATTTGAGGGCCTCTGCCGTAAGGTGCCGTGCTACGAACACAATTAGAGGGTCAGGGATCAAGGCCAGGCTCTGCGATATGTGTCAGGGTAAGGCCTTGTTATGAACTTCAGCAGTCCGCTTTTCCCGCCGTATAGCCTGTGTATGACATTGGTTTCGAGTGTGGTGTACCACTCTTCATATTAAATCATTGACCTTACGGCCTTTTACAACCTTTTGTTTGCTCGCCGTTTCGTAGCTTCCAACGCGGTCCCCTTGTCCAGCGTATATGTCTGCTTAGGTGGCGGCATGACAGTAGGCCTGCCTACATAGCTGCAGTTTGTTGCTACCAATGTATCTAATGTGTTATATCTTGAGGCACCGGACGAAGTCGTTATGGGAGCAATATGACCTTTGATGTCGACGCGCCCTAAAATCCAAAATCATAATCACACGGAGTAGGAAAAGCCGACCTACGTTCGGATGGTACGTAGTAATTTAATGCATAAACGATTCAATATGAAATGAACGTTACAAGACACCAAACTCACTGGGGCAGGCTGTTGCCACGGTCCTTCGTCCGCTGCCGCCTCGTCCGCTGCTGCCTCGACGGCAGCCTCCGGTGCAGCTGGGAGATCCCCGCGTTCATAGGGGTGCTCATTGAGCCCGGCTCCAGGTGCACGCTCCTCTTCGGCTTCCTCGGCGGCCAATGCCGGGTCCTCAACCTACGACGAGGTTTATGTTCGTGAACAAACCTTTATGCCGACGACTGTGATTGCGCTTAGTGCACATTGCTACATTATAAAGCAGTGGTCTTTAAGCAGTTCATCGCGATTGAGATCCGCGTTGTTGAGCTCCTTTGTAGCAGCCAAATACGGTCCGACGCATGTCACTATGACAACTAACTACCAATCTGGCGCGAAGGAGCGAGGAGCGAGCGGTTGGAAGGGCAGCACAAACGACCGCACGGTTTGGGCGGTTTTGGCGGCGGCACAAACTTTCCGATGATGTTCATAGGGACCGTGCTCAAGTTTTTATTTACCGTTTACCGTTTGGTTACGCACTTAAACTGGTTGCAAAGTCTGACACACACGCACGCGCGCACGCACGCACACGCATATATATATATATATATATATATATATATATATATATATATATATATATGTGTGTGTGTGTGTGTGTGTGTGTGTATGCATCACATTCCGGATGTAACATCTCAGATGGAGGCGATGAACACTCCCTTTGATGAAACACCGTCGACGAAATCCATACACTTCGAAATATAGCGGCTTTGGTGGACATCAAAGAACAGGAAACTAATGTTATTGTTTGTTAGCAACAGCTCCTTGCTCCCAAGGTATGTCGGGAGTCGCTCCAACAGAGATCACAAATTTCGATCCCCGTAGGCGCCAATGCCAACATTTGACAGCATGACCAGGGTCAACATATTCGGACATCAGAATTGTGGTGCCTCCTGAAGTCAGCAAGAATTGTGCATCCTGGGCGCGATGTGTTTTCGCGCATGTGAACAAAGTTACTTGATGTGGCTTTGAGTCAGGGTTGTTCCATATTAGTTTGGCGTACCTCCTCCGGAACGCCCTCCAGGTTTGCCGATCGCTGCCTGAATAGGTGCTTGGCCGCCTCTAGGTATTCGGACAGGGACCGGCCGCCCTCCACCATCTCCTGCTGCAGGGCCCGGAGACGGCCGTGGATCCAGTGGGAGCGTCTCGCGGAGCGCGCAGTCCGCTGGAGCGTGCCTGGCTCCGCAGCCCGGCAGTCTCTGTTAGCTGCCGCGATCGCCTGGACATGACAGGAGTTGGGCATATATGAACGTTCTGTGGACTAAAACGACTTTGGTTTATTTTCTGCGTGTAGAGCTATGTGTGATACCCATTTCATAAAACATTGGGAGTTGCTAATATTACATTGTTTTGGGACTGGAATTGTCATGCACGACCTAACAAACTTATTTTCATGGGCGGAGTAATGCAAAAAATACCGTACGCACATTCTGTCTTCGACGTGGAGCAGCCTCAAACAGATAAAGAGTGCAGCGTAAAGAGTGCCTACACGCCTCTGAGGAATTCCTAAGGCGCTGGTCCTAGACGAGAAATATTTAGTCAGCATTATAGCATTACGAGAATACAATGCACTGTGGTTGCGCCGCACGCACGGTGTAATGAGACATACCTCGTTCATTTTCGTCACAAACAGCCAGAAGCTGGGGTGGGCGTTTGGGAAGCTGCTTCCCAGGGTGTTGAAAAATGACTCGGCGTCATTGTTGGTGCGCCGAACCAATCCGAAGACGGACAGGTTTGCTGGCTCCACCCGCCGCCACTGCCTCGTCAAGTACTGGACGAGCCGGGCCAGGGGCGCCGCCAGCTCCATACGCACCTGAAAACATAGCCTGTGAGTTTTCCGTTCCGCACATCGTTTTCCACACTTCGGCGGACCTGGTGAGCGGTCTATGCTAACCCAGTGCGGCTGTTGCTTGTTTAGACCATGACACTATGATATAGATATAACAACGCGATTGGGAGCACCTAAAGAATGTACACGATTGCACTGAATGCACCCTGAACACGACTTGTAAGATATTGGATTTAGGGGCGTGTCGCGTCGCTGAACGCGCTCAGGTCTGACGGCTTACCAGGGCCGGCGCAGCGGGGGCAGGGGGGGGGGGGGGAGGCAGGGAGCCTAAGGAGCTATTCACGATGCCTTGATCTCTTTGTATTTTCTTGCATGGCCCTACGCTGTCTAGGCACAACCTGCTAACATGCCTGGGCACTCTTGATCGATTAGACGGCCTCCACGGATTCTTCCTATTTGCCTGTAAGGGCTCTATGCGCTTTTCCCCGGAGTGCCAGGGACTCGGTACACTCAGTCGCTCATGTGCCATTCAAATTGGTCTTAGATTATGTTGCTTGGGGGGGGGGGGGCTTGTGCTGTTGCTAAGGTCCATAAAAGGTGAGGCACCGAGCCGCTCGATGCTCATGGACTGACTTTATTGATCTAGCGCTCTTTCCCTCCGATTTCGTCTGCGGAGGACCCTTCACTCCCGAGACCTGTATTCACGTACACTGGTCTTGGGTAACTTCCCTTCGCTCATAGGGCCTTGTGCTCTAACTGGGGTCCTATATTTCAACCTGCCGGTGCACTCCTGAGCGTTCAACTGCCCGCCATGTTAGTCTTGGTGCCTTAGCCTTAGAGTAGCAGGCAGATATGTGGCCATGAATTTGTATGCGCCATTGTGAAGCAATTAATCCGTTGAGGCAAAAACTCTGCATTAGCCATTAAACACCAGCTCATCACATCCACCGGCTAGCTAGCTGGCTTTTCTCGTACCTCGGGCACCTGGCGCTCCAAGAGCAGGGTCCACGCCTCGTGGAGCCGGTCAGCTGGCACGAGGGGAAGAATGACAATCTTCCGAGCCCATCTTGAAAAGGCTGACGCCTCCATGGTGTACTCGGCGTGCAGCCCGAGGCGCCGTATCTGGAAACATGCCGTTTGATTTTATCGGACGATATGCTACACAAATTGAGGAAATTTTGGGACGTGGCTAAGGCTGGGGCAGCGGAGAATGTAGCACATTAAGCCGAAAGGTTTACAATAGGCACTAGGCGATTTCGCTAGAATGTGGTTCAAATATGCAGGATTTTGGAGGACATCTAACATAGCTTAGGCACCACAAACACATTAAGGTGTCGGCATGCGCGTGTTTCTACGGCGCCGTGCACGCCTGGGTGACTCTGAACCAATCACACGGAATTGTCTACACAAGTTCGCGGATGTCAAGCGCGGTGACAAGAAGGTTTAAGTGTTAGGGGGCATGAGTGTGAACTGCACTGAAGGATAGTCAACATGGCTATCTCAGTTCATAACCTCTTAGACATGGGAACACTAATTTTAAGTGGATATACCCATCAGAAATTGGCATGTTGCATACATGCCTCGGCCAGTTTTAGCCAGATATACAAGACGGAAGGGCGCACCCAATGACACGGCAGAACAGCTCCGCACAATGTCGTCATCAGTACTACCGAAAAGCGCGTCACAAATGACAAACTCACTGAACTTTGTCCAAACATGAATGTAAATAGCATGCTCTTTTCTGCTCATGACTTACCTGACGAATGATGGCCTGAGCATAGTGGAACCAGCAGCCGCTCTGCACGGCTGCTGGCCACGCCGCGGCGGCGGCTCCCTGCAGCGCTCGCTCCCAGTCCGAAAGGAAGCGGCGCACTGGGGCGCCGAGGACCCGGCGGATCTCACCGAAAACTGCATGGTAGAGCCGCCGGGTCCTACACGACATTAAAACGAAGACGGCGGGAAGCATGGCACCGCTGACTCCCATGAACACCACCAGTAACTGGTGAAACTGGTGAGGCACCACACGGAAGGTCCCATCGGCCTGCACGTTGACATGGTCGTTTGTGGCAGCGTGTGCCACCACGTTCGTCTTGAAGCCGATGGCCACCTGAAATACAAGTAATCACACCATGTAATGATACGATTTTCCAAAAGAGCGTTGGTATTTCACCTCGGCAAACACGGCAGATTATCGCATGGAAATGAATTCAGCCATCTTTTGGATTTGCAATGAGCCACAGACACCTGGCAGTGGTAGCCGAGCTGCTGTTACCCGCCGCGAGATAATGGCAAGCTAAACGAGGCTCTACTGAAAGGAAACGAGCGTTGCACAGCAAGCACGCAAAGAAAGGTAGGGCTGGTGGATTCAGTGCATGCGCCATTTGTTGGGCGTGGCTGCGCTGGGATAGTCGTGGTGAATTTGCCTGAATTCGACAGTTTCTCTGCTGTTTTACCCATTTCTGATATCGAAGTATCCACGTGCTGCCGGATATAGATTAATCAATAGCCTTCCTTGAATTTCAACCAATAAACATTGTGACACCACACAGCAGTAATGAAATCAAAGACAAACGTTTGACCAGCATCTTTGATGATGTCCTCATCGCCTAACGTACCGTTCTAGCCCAGTATACGGGCTGTACCGAAGGCGCAGTTCGTTAGAGCACCTGCCTTCCGTTCCCCCCATTTGCTCACCCGTAGCGGGATGGACTCGAGTCGCTTTCGGCGCTCGCTACTTGCCCATTACTGGCATGGCCTGCGTCCGGTTACAGCGGCCGCGCTTAAGACCATGTGACATCAGAGGGCAAGCATGATAGTAAATGGTTGGCTTTTAATCATAATCCTGACATGACCTGTGATCATCTTGCCTACTATCTTCCGTCCCGAAGGCTGAGACTTGATATACCAATGGGTATTTAATGCACTGAGCCACATTTTCGAACCAGCAATGTATGCGTATCCCTGCTTGTGCGAACAAGGCAGAGGTGATTCTTTGCTTCTTGTTGTCTCCTTGTTGTTGAAATGTGCGTTTTCCAGTTGTTACATATCTTAGTAAAGGAAAACGCTACGTGTACATTATCGTTTTGCATCGATTTATCACATCCACACTATTCTAACCTAGTTCCCCGCGTCGGCTCTGGGAGGTTGCGTGCGCCGAAATTGCACATTCAGGACGAGAAGTGATGTACCACAGCCGCACTTGATGGTAGTGAGTTATGCATGTCATAAACGGATGCTGGCATCTGCCCTCCATTCGCATTTACCTCGTCCCCATTGACGACAGAACTGAAGCAGTGGTGTGCTGACAGTCCTGGCCCGGCTGCGTCGATCGCGGCGACTGCTGCGACGGCGGTCTCCGGCACGGCGGGCTGATTGACCCGCCTCTGTCGTAGCATAATCTGCCGCATTCCTTGGTAACTGAGCGCGGCTCCCGCCTCGCCTTGCGGCAGGTGATTGAAAATTTGGCGGTTTGTCCTCCCCTCTACATCATTTTGGACAGCAGTCCTAATTGCCGACGTCACGCTCAACATCTGAAAAGAGGAGGTGCATTCAGATCAAGTTTCTCCTATATATTCGCAAAAGTTCTTTCTGCAAAACGCCGGAACATGCCCTCTCGCACGTGGTCGAAAAGACGCCGGTATGGTCCGAGCAAAATTTGTAGTAGGGGTATATGTGCAGCGACCTGTGCTGCGCGTCTGGGTAACAAAAAATGTAGACAGACTTGCGTTCTTCATTGAAAGTATTTAAAAAAGTGTAGCTATTGCAAAATGCGTCATAAAACCGCTGCAAGCTGTTCAATAATCAAACATCACTGGCGTCCCTACCCACGAAAAAATCACGTTGAGGGTGTCTCATAGATCCATTTCATGCAAGGTGTACCCAAGCGTGAATCTACAGTATCCTGCGAACAGGGGTACCCATACATACATACAGCGCGAGTCCTCAGCACTGAATGGGTGTCCTCAATGGGGATGGGTGTCCTCATCACATACCTCGTTATCCAGGTGAAGTGGAGCATGAGTATGCGGCCGGTTTAGGCGGATGCGCCCACCGTTCAAAACGGCCGTCCCCAAGCATCTCACTGCAGTGTTCTCACGCTGATGGCACCTGGTGACATACACGAGATAGCTGTCACACGCCACATTGTGTGCTTCATAATGGATGGCAAGCAGAGCGTAAAAGACAAAAACAAAATGGCATCTGTTATAATGCTTTCATACTTGAACACAAAATGGGATAATCTGTTCACTACTCGTGTGTCGTGGGCTGAAAAGATCAAGAAAAGTAAAAAAACAAACAAATACGTTAAATAAGTGGTTACACGCGTCACAGTCGTTCATCTAGCATATACGCTACTGGCATCATGGTAAAAGATTGAACATGGCCTCATGTTTCCTTGCATGGCCTCACATGACCTATTGCGACCTCATGCATTGGAATGATATTACTACATGTCCTGACTGGAACCAGAGGAGCGTCATTGCGCGATGCGCAATTTGCGTATTGTGTACCGTTTTATTCGGTGTGGTCGCTTATGATCTGACCGCTAAGGGGTCTCGTCCTTTGATTACATCAAACACTTTTATGGCCGGATCTGACCATGCCAAAAATTTGATACGATGACCAACCAACTTGCCTTACCAACTTAGCCTTACCAACCAACCAACCAACCAACTTAAGATGACCAACTTAGCCTTACCGCACAAAGAATGCTACTCAAAATGACCAAAAGGAATTGTTTACAGCATGTATCTCAGCGTTCTCCCCGCACCTGCTTCAGTCCTGGCCCCTCCCCTCCCATTGCATTGGGCTATTCTAAAATATATCAGGGCATCATTTACCCAAGAGTTCCGGATGACTCGATGTCAGCTACCGCATGACAAATCTGAGTGTTCCCCTAGGGATACCTTTCACAAACAACACTTCATAAAATTAGCCGGCTTATGCATTGTGAACGACAGCTCGCGCCAACTGAACGCGCTGACCATGCGCTGTCGGACTGCTGCAGAATAGTGTGCACTAGAAATGTGTGCGCACAGGCTCTTGTGCTTTAGTCTCACTGTTGTTTTCGTCCCGCATCGCCATGGTCCAGGCAGCCGAATGGCCACTGGCATGTCTAAATATTTTCCGCGCTTGAATGTGACATACGGCATATGTGCGGTAGACAGTCCAAATTAATCGTTCAAAGACGTTAAGCCGGCTGCACACAGAAACGGACATTAACGCTACTGCATTTGCTTGCCGTTGTCTCAGAGAATCCTTTTCGCCGTGTTTAGCTACAACCGCGGCATGCCCATTGATGCGCCTGAATATCTTCCGCGCGGAGGACGGGCAGAAACTCGTGATTTCAAGGCCAATGCGCAGTCGACGATATGTCTGCAAATCTTGGCGGCAATTCGCATGACCTTTGCAATGACGGATGTTTGTGGTAATTGCAACCAAACCATGGCGAAATGAAAAAAAGGTTTTGGGTGAACACTGATCGCCGTAAACCGGGCTTTGCGCCTGTATCATTTTTACAGCCCGGGCTCGTACCGTTTAGGCTTCAGTGTCATGTATGTGATATTAGCTTGGAAAAAACCGCAATGGGTCGCTTCCCGGCCGTCTGCCAGCGTGTTCTTGCCAATTGGCCTCTTTCAACTGACCAACGTCACTGATCTTAGAACATCATAATTCCAAATTTGTTCAAAGAATGCCAAATTGATAGATGAAGAGATGTTGAGAACTTCGCGTTGCTGCGAGCGTTCTTTTTTGGCCTGTGCTCCAAGAACAGTAAGGGAAGTCAACTTCCCATCACGACCGGGCGTGGGTTGTCGCATGAGTAAATTGGATCGGCACACTCTTAGATGCAGAATTTAAGTGTAATAGAGTAAATGTTTCGTTGCTTCGCGGTGAAAATGTTAACAGCGCAGCAACGCATCATCGCATCAGCGCATGCGCAACCCCAGCCAAGCCCGGGCGAATAAAACACTGCTATAAGGTGAAGGATTCGGGTACTCACTGGAGATATGTGCTGAGTCCAATCTTGGTTTTCGAAACGTAGATGTGGCCGTCAGCACATGCGTAGACGCGGCTGCCCCGTCGCCTACCTTCCCGCACCTCATACTCCATGATAGTCTTGAGGGCAAGGCGTACCACAACCAGGACCGTGTGATGGTGCGATCACAACTGGCGCGATAATGCCGCGAGCGCACCGGCGCAGGGTCACCCTTTTATGACGCCGGCGAAAAATAGCTTTTCCCTCTGAAGACACCCAGACGATGTCCCCATGCGTCTAGGAGTCGCGTCCGATTCGGCCGACCATAAAGGGGTACTCGCACATCCGTGCCGGTGGCGTGGCTTTCGAGCCAGCATTGTGCAATGCGACACTCCCCAAGACACTGTACCGACTGCGTAGCTCGAATCGCAGCAAACACGCTGCTAGGTTCGCAGCGTGTTCTTTCGCAGTTTTGCCCGATACGATTCCGACCAGCATATGCCGCATGTCTTGAACGTTGTTGACGTGTCTTGGTGTCCTCCGCGTCGCTGCGTTGCTTCTCATAAACATATTTTCAAATTTATTCCCTGACTTCTAGTACCGGCATGTGAAAACTGACTTGAATGACGACACTGATCTAGCATAACCTGGCTAACGTTTCGCTTCGCAAAAACATGCCGCGTACGGTAGATGTTGACACGGACCTCATATTATCATTTACAAAATTATTTCGAGCGCTTTTTATCATTTCGTTGTTCCAACCGTCGAAATGGTAAGTAACCTGAAATGCTCACGAGTGATCCTTTCCTTGGAAAATGATGATGATGCCTATCTGAGCTTTTTGGGCGAATCGACTGTAGGTGGTCATGCAGCACCCACAACTATCATATTCTACAGGGCCGTAAACTAAACAGGAGTATCAAAAAAATCTTATTTAGTCTTGGCCAGGCATTATGTCATCGTGAAAATATCACCTAAAAATCTTATTGGTCGCAGGAGCGAGGGAAGTTGTCAAGAATGGGGATGGGTCAGAGGCATTTGAGTCGTTTCTTTCCATGTACCGCCGGAAGCCTAGTGCTGAATTATCTCAGTTGCTGGGAAGTAGAATATATCCCCCAAGGTCCTCTCCCCCCCCCCCCCCAATAACGCCATCGTTACCTCGCCTATGCTTGGTCATATCGTCCCCACCCCGGCGTCCCGGTTGTTATGGTGGCGGCTGGCGGCCGGGGGTTGTTTGGCCCGTCCCGTTGCGAAGGGGTGGCTGCTCCCCCCCCCCCCCGCCCCAGACAAGTTGGCGCGTGGGGAGGACGGCTCCTGGAAGTGTTTTGGTGAGCGTGCTGGGCGCATCGGTGAGTGTGCATTGTGCAATATCATTTCCGTTTCGTTCATTGTGCTGTCGTGTGGCAGGACTCTTTTATATTGACTTGTTGTCTTTGATAACACCGGCCCACTTGCAGGGCCGCGCCATGTTGCTTGGAGAGCGAAAAGCCTTCCAATATTGTGCATCCTTGCCCACTTAGTGACGTGGAAACCCCTCCTATAGTAACATGAACCTCAATTAAAAAGTCGGTTCCAGTCATTGTGTACAGCGTCATATAAGGCTTATTTATGTATGGGTAAGAAATCTCTCTCCCCTCATTGAAGAAGGCTTTAGGCGAGGTCCTGGGCCTGCGTGATTTTTTTCTTGTGCAACGATACATTTGCGATATATCTCGCCTGTTTCTTTTGATGTACTTGCTTGCAATATGCGAACGATGCGTTGTTGGTGTTTTCGGCTTGCGGCCCTTTTTGCGTATTTTCTCCGGCAGGATGAAGCTCGCTGTTGCGGATATTGATGGACAGCGGGATGGACATCAACTTCAGCCCTTCGTTAGCTGGGGAGGTGCTCCGCTGTTGAACTGATGGGCTGCTGCTGAGAACGCAGCTACTCTGCTCTGGATGGCTGTTTGAGGAGTGCTGCTGGCCGCCCGGAAGCTTTCAGTCTGCCAGCAAGCTGGCACAGCAATCAGAGGCCTCTGCCAGTCATCTGGTGCTGCTCCAGAATCATCATTTTTAGGAAAGTAGGCATTGTGCCATATGGGTCCGTAATGCTCAGTTCGTGCTTCACGAACAATTCTGCCAAAATCTACGTCGATGATTTCCTTGCCACGATTATTGGTAACTCCATACCATGGACATGGCAAAGATAAAATCTGCTATATTTCTCTGAGCACTTTCGCAGGCAACAGTAGCAAACCAAGTTTTCGAATTGTGTCATAAAAAAGGAAATTGGCACTCTTTTTCACACAAAGCATTCTCACAGCAGTCTTTTTCAAACTGGGCTGGCGGTGTTTGCCAGGAATCTGCTGTTTTATTCTTTATTGCATGTATTTTTATTAAGTGCACCTTTTCATCCTTGGCTGCTTTCGTTGCCATCAGCCACAATCCATTCATTCCGGGGGCAAACAGCGAGTGCCTTAAACGACCCAAACTCACCCTTTAATGACTGAAGTGGATCGGAAACCAACCGCTTTAGAATAAGAAATTACTATCGAGATAATATCGTATTCTCACATCGACCGATGACAGTCACTATGCTCCAATCTGTTTGATCATGACAATGACAAGCTTGTTAGCATCGTCCTGGTGAATTAAACTACAACGCTTCATTTCTCTTTATGGATTATGCCGTTATCTCATAAATGGCACCATGGATGGTTTGGTGTCGTTATTGTGACCGTATGAAGACTAAGTCAAGTCTGCTTTCAGGCAAGCACTCCATGCAAGAGGCCTTACGTAAACGTTTCCCATACAAGTACCCCGAGCAAGTGCGTGTGTAGTGCATTTCTGCACTGCTATTCGGCATAGCTACGTTCGTTATTATCAACCTCGGCAAATGACTTAACATAAAATCAGTTCTTTTGAGTAGTAAACTCTGTTTATATGAAAAATCATCGTCGCTCACGTTGTGGAGCAGTAATCTGAGGAACCAAAGATCGTTATTTTCAGGGGCCATCCTGCGCAGCACACCGCGCTACGGTGTCTCCCGCAACAAAACGAAATAGGTAGCAGGAAAATGGTTTCCGCTGGAGAGACCGCGACGACGGCACGAAACACTGCGCTGACGACTGCACCAACGGCAACGCATGGCATTCGTTGAATAATTCGGTGATTATCGCATTGGGCATGATAACAGAAAGTGTATGTTTTGTGCAATGGGCGACTCTGGACATGGTGTCCGATAATCTGCACTTGCGTTGCAGCAAGTTGGTGGCAAGCGACAAGCAGGTGATGCGCAGTCAATAGGTCACAGCATCGACCGCAAGGCGGTCTGTCGCCAGCCAATGCTATGGCGGTGTGTAACATATGTGTGTCATATGCGTTGTTGGCACAGGGCAAGTTCCTCCCTCGTATTGTTGCGGAAACGCAACTGCAACTTCCGATACGGGGTTTCACTGAGTTCAGCTTGTTGGCGCTGTCCCAGTGGTGCGCCGCCATCGCTCCCGCATAAAAGACGACACCACGGCGTACGTGTCCTGAGTTGGTTGTGGTATTACAGGAGTGTGTGTCCCAATCGTAGTGCGATTTGCCGCGGCATCAGCAAGATCATTTCCTTAGATCCCCACGTGACTTGGGACGCAACACAGTAGCGGACCGTTTTTCCTGTTCGAACCAGAGGGGTAAGACGTCTGAATGTCCTGGACCCGTAGATTCGACGTGGAGAAGCCGCAAACAGCCAGGAGGCTGCTCATGGTGTCGGAAAGAGCCAAATGAAGATCGCTAGCGCCAAGTTTTTAAAACAAAGTTTTGATGATGGCTGTCAGCTCGGAAGTGAAAACTGACGCGTGTGTAGCCCGCGCAAATGGCCGTGTTTTATAGCCACATACAACAGCGCTTCCTATACCCGCATGCGTCGTAACACAATCCGTGTAAGTCGTCAAGTATCCGTCAAAGGAGACCATGCACTTTAAGGCCGTGTTTCCAAGTTCTATCGCGATTACGTTGTTTTCGTGTTTGATAAGGAACGTCCACTTTTGGCGACGCTTGCTTCCAAGGGGCAATTCCTTTCTTTAGATTTGATTACACCTCATAAGTTGAAGCCGCCACATTGTCGTGACTGTTGGAGTGGCCTTCGTAAGTCGCACGAAAATACTGCTTTGTAAATGGAATAATCTGGGAACTGCGCTAGCTTGCACGTGTGGCTCAGTCCCAGCACCTGCCTTCGCAATGCTAGTGGGGTGCTCCTGAGCCTCTACCAGGAGACTATCATGTCAATGATCATGACTATATATGATATTCGCCTGCGGTTTCCGCAAAACAGACAAACCTATTCCACGGGACCGGCGATTGATCGTGGGACGTAACCGGTTATTTCTGCGCCTTGCATCAAATGTCGCCTTTGAATGATGGCAGGACGCACTGCCGTTGTATTTTAAACAACATTGCATTGTATCGAACACTGACAAACGGTCGGTGCCGGCCAAATCAATTCTCCTGACCCGCGAACACAAGACGCTCAATCTATGCCACGTGATCTATTTCACATGGCTGTGAATGTGATAGGTTTGGACGTTTGGACGTCCAAACCCTCTGACCTGTATTCATGAGAATGCGTGAATACAGTAGAAGATTCACGTGAATGCTTCGCAATGCTAATGGGGGCTCGTGCGCTTCTACCAGACGACATGGACGACGTTCGAAAAGCCCCTGTGGTCATGCGTAGTGCGACGTAGTGCACCGTGTTCAAAGTGCGTTTGCAGGTCTGTTGTACCGTCATAAATAAAGCAGTTGTAGTCAAGTCTTTAAAGAATGAGGGAACGACAGAGGTGAGAGCGTACTCCTATAAACACCGTATGACGTACGTCCCACGGACGCTAAGGTGTTAAGGGATTTTAACATTCGTCGCGGAGGCTTTTGTGTGCATTCAGTATGTTACCTGTCGGTCAAATCGTATACCTACAGATTTTCTTGGAGAGGGTACGTTGGTTACAGGGCTGTTGGTTACATGAGGATACCCAGGGTCATTTCAGGTACTTGTTTCAAGTTTGACATTGCGTGACATCAGTGAAACCGAACGTCACGATCTAGAGATGTAAAATATTTTCAGGAACGAGTTCACATGGGGCCTTGCCCACCATATTGGTGTTGCTATGTTCATTAATTTTTAGTATTTCACGGGGTTGATTGAC